GTCTGAACCTCTCCAGGGTGGGTCCTTCCCACAGGCTGCAGTTCTTCACTCGCTGCTCCAGGGTGGGTCCTTCCCATGGGCTGCAGCCTCCCGGGAATGCTCTGCTCCAGGGTGGGCTCCCCACGAGCCCACAGGTGCTGCCAGGACCTGCTCCATGTGGGCTCTGCACGGAGTCACAGCTGCTTTCACCTGCCTCCAGCTGCTCCAGCAGGGGCTCTGCACAGGCTGCAAGTGGATTTCTGCTCCACTCTGGACCTCCGTGGGCTGCAGGGGGAACCACCTGCTTCACCAGGGTCTCCAGCAGCAGCTGCAGGTGAATCTCTGCCCCGGCACCTGGAGCAGCTCTTCCCCCTCCTCCTGCACCAGCCCTGGGGCTGCAGGGATGTTTCTCTCACATGTTCCCACTCCTCTCTCCCAGCTGCTGTTTCCCCTTTCTTGAAGCTGTTACCCCAGGGCTCTGCCCCTGGGGCAGGTGGGCTCAGCTTTGGCACCCCAAAACCTTACCCCAGAAACCCAGTGCTCCAGCAAAAGCCCCAGGGCCCTCTGGAGAGGAGCAGGGCTCCGTGGGGGTCTTGGCAAAGGTGGGTGAAGGCCCTGGGGTCTCTGGAGGGCAGCAGAGCCCTGCCCAGGCCCTGGAAAGGCTGGGAAATGCCCTGGGTGGTCAGCACAGAAGCTGGACCCTTGTGGCCCCTGGCAAGGCCCAGAGCTCCCTGGAGGAGTGTGGGCATGAGAGGAAGGGACAAACCAGCCCAACCCTCCCCATTAAACCCAAGCAGTCAGGGATAAACAGAGACCCTGACCCACCTGGACACCTGGAGCCCAGATGTTTACCAGCCCTCCTGGGAGAAACAGGTTTTACCACAACCCAGTTTGACAGAAACGATGGTATAATCCTGAAGGGGCTTGCACTGGAGATGCCAGGTAACATAGTCCTGCCTTCTCCTTCCTCTTGTGACTTCCCAGGCCAGGGAGTGCCCACACCCATCCCAGTACCCAGATTGCTGGAAGAACTATTAGTAGCAGCCTTGTGTACCATGCTCTGTCTAACCAATAGATATTCTCTCTCTTTTCACATGGGCACAGAAGTCCTCAAAGTTGTTGTGGTTGGAAGGGATGTCAAAGACCATCCAACCCCCTGCAAGACAGTGCAGCATGAACCCACAAAACCTCCAGAAAGGGTGTATCCATCAGGGATCACCAAGAAAAGACAAGACTCCCAGCAGCCAGGGTAGGGTTGGGCTTGATCTTTAAAGGTCCTCCCAACCCAAACCATTCCCTGTTTCTAGCAAAGCCTGACCACGTTCCTGGGGCTCTCTAGAGAGCAGCAGGGCTCTGGAGGGGTCTGGTAAAGCTCTGCAAAGGCACCAGGGCTCTCTGGAGGGCAGGTGGGCCCTGAAGGGTTAGGGCAAAGTCTGGTGATGGCTCTGGAGCTCTCTGGAGAGAAGCAGGGTCCTGCTCAGGCACCTGAAAGAGTCCAGTAAAAGCCCCAGGTCTCTCTGTAGGGCACCAGGGCTCTACATTCACCAACACCACATCACTCCAGTTTAGTGGCAAGAATATTCTGGGGGACTGTCCAAAGCCTTACACAAGTCCTGTTTATAAGAAGGATATGGAACCCTTGGATCAAGACCAGAGAAAGGCCACAAAGAAGATCCAAGGGCTGGAGCAGCTCTGCTCTGGAGCCAGACTGGGAGAGTTGGGGTGTTCAGCCTGGAGAAGAGAAGGCTCCAGGGAGACCTTAGAGCAGCTTCCAGTGCCTGAAGGGGCTCCAAGAAAGCTGGGGAGGGGCTTGGGACAAGAGCAGGGAGGGATGGGATGAGGGGGTAAGAGTTTTAAGGGAGATTGAAATGAGATATTAGGAAGAAAAATCTTTGCTGTCCCAGTTTCATTCAAACACTGTCCTGAAGCTCTTGGCTTTGCAAAGTCTGGGTGCACTGAAGAGCAGCCCTGAGCAGGGCTCAGCACATGCAGAGCTGCTGCAGCATCACTAGAAGGATGAAATTCTTCCAGGGATGGAGATTAGGTAGAGATTCTTCACTCAGAGGGTGGTGGAGAACTGGAATGGGCTCCCTAGGGCAGCTTTTTTTTGGCTCTGAACCTGGCAATATTCAAGAAACATTTGGACAACACCCTCAGGGACATGGTGTGAACTTCAGGGTTTTCCTGTTCTTCGGTGGGAGTTGGACTGGGTGATCCAGGCTGTCCCAGGAAGTGCTTGAGCCACCATCCCTGGAGACATCGAAACAAACAGATGTGGTGCCAGGGGACAGGGTTTAGTGGTGGACATGGCAGAGTTGGGGTGGTGGTTGGACTCGATGATCCTGAAGGTCTTTCCCAACCAGAGTGATCCTGTGATCCTTGGTGTTAACCTCAAAGGTGCCAAGTTCTGCATCAGGGTGGCCCGTGTGTGCCTGCCCTCCCACACCCCCCCGGGAGCCGCAGTGAAGGGTGTGCTTTTTAATGTCAGTTATAATAAAATATTTTTACAGAGCCCAAAAAAGTCAAAATAGTGCAAAACATCTCACTGTCATGCATCCATGGCAGCCGCCGCCGGCGGTGCCGCACAGGTGGTACAGACACACAGGCATCAGTGACACGTGTGCTACAGGAGCAGAGTTGGTTGGTTCAATCACATGCCAAACAGGACAGTTTAGGGAGGGACACGGGGCCAGGGGCACCACGCTCGGGGGGGACGGGGGGGCTGAGCCCCAGCCTGGCCGTGCGGGAGCAGCGGTTAGAAAAGGGGTGTAAACACTGAACAGAAATGAGAGAGGAAAGCTAAACCCTTTGGTCCCAGGAAAACCCTAGAGAAAAAGGACCGTGGGGGGCCAGTGGGGGTACCCTGTTTTGGGGATGGGGAGGGGGCTGAGAGAGGTATATTGACTGGCAGGGTCATCAGGCCTTTGTCTTCCCTGGTACTCAGGGCAAGCTGGCCAGCTGGGGTGGCCACCCCCAACACCCCCTGGCCTCCTGGTCATTCACACGAGACACACACACCAATGACCACACAGAAATGGCAGTTAATGGGAAACTGGGGGGAGGAGGTGGGGAAGGCTTCTGGATTTGGGATGGGAAGGGTCTCGTTTGCGCCAAGGATGTCCCCTGGGCGCTGCTGCACTGCACAGGGGTGGCTGGTCCCCAGTGGCCAGAGCAAGAGGAGGTGAGTCCCACTGCTCCAGTGCCCCCAGCCCTTCCCCAAGCCCTGTCACCCTGGGGTGGCAGTGGGGCAGCCCACAGTGGTGGCACGGCAGGGAAGACAGGATACGGGCCGGGGGCTGTTCCCTGCCACTCCCGGACCCAGTGATGCCACTGCCAGCCAGGGAGGGGACCCTGTGTGGGGCACGTGGGGGCTGTGCCCACCAACCCAACAGCCCCCAATAGCCCTTCCGGGTGCAGGACACAGCCCATGTCCAGCTGCCCCGTGTATCTACAGCTATTTACATATGTACAGGGTGCTCAGTGGGTGGGAGCCTCCCTGTCCCACAGGGCACCCAGTGATGCTCAAGGGATGAGGACAAGGGGCCATCGTGCTCAGCCAGCCACTTGCCAACCTCTATGTAGGATGAGACACAGCCCCTGACCCTCCCCCCAGCCCTTTCCTTGTGTCACTCAATGAGATCTGGGGCTGGGTAGGACAGGGTAGGGTCAGGGATGGGCTACTGAGGTTCCTCCATCTCAGGCAGGTTGGGAAGGGGCAGGTGTGTCACATCGCCCAGTCTGGGGTTCAGCCCTTCCCTGCAGCCCCAACAGCCCCAGCAGGTTCCCATCAGGGTGGGACGGGGGTATGGCCACGGTCTGCACCCCTGTCCCCCTGCCAGTCCGGCCAAGGGGGGGGCCGGGGCATT